AATCCTAGATAACGTTCAAAAAAACAAAAATAAAACTAAAACCCAAATCCAAAAAAATAAAAAAATAAAAAAATACACTGGTGGAACGCCGAGTGTCAACAAGCCAAATCTAAACGACAAGAAGCCCTCTTAAACTTAAGAACTCGATATACCCAAGAAAACTATCTAAAATATAAACACACTGATCTCAACCTAAAAAAGATCATTAAACAAAGTAAAAAAAGAAACTGGAAAAGATTCTGCACTGAAATTAACCACTTGACAACAAATAAAGAAATCTTTGACCGAATAAAACTAATAAAAAATAGCGTCCTCCCGTTCACCCTTACAACTGACACCTGGATCCCTAAATTCCTCGAAAATCTCACCCCGGACTCCACTACAAAAAGAGAAAAAACACTAGATAATAACATATTAAATGAAGAACTCCTAATCTCAAAAAAAGAAATTAAATTTGGAATTCACAAACTAAAGAAAAAAAAGGCTGGTTATGACCTTATCACAAATGAAATTCTCAAAAATCTTGACCAAGACAATGTTAACTACCTCCTCAAAGCATATAATCAAATCCTAACCACAGGTTCCATCCCAACCACTTGGAAAAAATAATAATTTTCCCTAAAATAAAACCCCAAAAAGACCCTCTAAACCACCTATCTTACCGCCCAATTGGGAACATCTCAGTCGCCAGGAAACTCTTTGAAATAATCATAAAACATAAACTAGAATGGTTCCTAAAAAAAACCCATTAACTCTCCCCTATGCAGTTCGCATTTAGAAGACTTAAAGGCACCTACAACCCCCTCACCCACATCTTCACTGACATCAAAATTAATACAGGAAACAACAATTACATGCCTACAGCGTTTCTAGACATAACTAAAGCTTTTGACAATGTCAACCACGATATACTATTTGACTTCTTCTAAAAAAAAAAGTTAACAACAATCTAGCCAAAGTTATATACAACCTAATAATAAATAACGATCTCATTGTTAACTGTAATAATAAACTTTATGGACCCAGAAGATCATCAGCAGGCGTAACCCAAGGAGGCATCCTACGCCCAACCCTCTTTATTCTTTATACTTCAGACATTTTCCTAAATGTATCAGGAAATTCCATACTTATTGAATATACTGACGACTTCGTACTATACAACTAAGGAAAAAAATTAGGAAAATGCCTCGAACTCCTTGAAAAAGACTTAGAAGACCTCCTTCAAGCCCTAAAAAAATAAACCTAGACCTCTCATTTGAAAAAACTAAAATAATAATATTTACTCGACACCGCATTAAACCTGAAGACATAAATTTCCAAATAAACGGTCTCGATGTAGAAATCACCAACTCCCATAAATACCACGGAATAACCCTAACTCAAAAGAACTCCCCCACTCCCCACATAAAAAATATTAAAGAAAGAATTCTCACCCGAATAAATATCTTTAAACTCATATTAAAGTGGTCTTGGGGTGCCACCCAATCGATACTCCGTCAACTTCATCTCTCATTAGTTCAACCCGTCTTAGAATATGGAATAATGTTTTACATTGAAACACTCAAAGATCTTGATGAAAGTGAAAAAGTTCAAAATTATGCTCTCAGATCTATCTTCAACCTCCCAAAATCCACCCCGTTAAACAACATCAATGTAGAACTTGCCATACCTCCACTGACATTAAGAATGGAATCCCTGACTAAAAAACTAATAATTAGAAACTCCCAACTCAAATACTCCCAAATAATCAGAAACCTGAAAAAACTTAGTTTACATGTAGAAAACCACCCCTTCTGGAGTAAAAAAGAACACCCGCTAATCTCAATACTCTATACACAGATAGCCCCCTCCCTAACTCAAATTTACAAAACTGGATATAACCCACTGTACGAAAACAACCTTCGCACTTATTTTGAACGACCCCAAGCTACCTATCTAGATAGCATCATACCCAAAAGGTCTCTCTCCCACCTCGATAATGAAATTATCAAAAACAAATTCACCGAAATCCTTGAAACTAACTTCCAAAACTATGAAAAAATATATACTGACGGATCAAAAGCCCATGATAAAGGAAGGGTAACCTGCGCATTCATACATGAAAACACCCAAATCGTGTTTAAACTCCCCCCTCTATTCGATAGCTTTAGCTCTGAAGCCTATGCCATCCTTCAAGCATTAAACCACATCAAAACAACCCAAATAAATAATAATTATCTAATTATCTCCGATTCCAAAAGTTGCATTGACGCCACAGCAAACCCTCATAACTTCCCTAAAAACTATCTCATCATCAACATACTTAAAGAACTCCATACCCTTAATCACCCTGAAACCAAAATCAAACTCCTATGGATCACTTTCATATCGGCATTTCAGGTGACGAAAAAGTGGATAAACTATGCAACAAAATTGAATTAGCTCTGGACAAATCTAACACCCCTATCCCCTATAATAACCTCTTCCCCCAAGTTAGAAAACAATTACTCACTGACTGGCAGAAGGACTGGGACCACACAGCAAAATTCAAAGGAAAAAGACTTCATCAAGTACAACCCAAAATAAAAATTAAACCCTGGTTTCAAAATCTAAACTGGAGCAAATCAACCATTAACAAAATAACTAAAATCAGAATCGGACATGGGAACTTTCCTGCCCATAATTTTAAAATTAAAATTGCCGCTACCAACCTCTGTCAATGTAAACAAATCGGAACCATCGAACATATCCTCCTCGAATGCCGAAATAACAAAACAAACCTCAAATACCAACTCTCTAAACACATCAAATTCCCTACAGCCCTTATACAAATTCTTCAAAACCCTGAACCCATAGTATACAAAAAAATAGCCATCTTTCTCTGTCACAACAAAATCCAGCTATAAACATCATCTATCCTCTTACTCATAACTATACTCATCTCTTCATGTCTCTACCCAACAACTTCCTGGAATCCGGATATATGTTTTCCATGGCTCAGTCCTCGGTTAGCGTCACAAGTCGTTCAAGTCGAGCCTCTGTGAACGTGAAGTAGTCTAGGCCTTCAACTAACTATCACAAAACAGTTAAATCTAACTACAACTCATAAAACTCCACTAATCTTCTACCCTCTACAAATCTTCTCAAATCTCTGAATCAAAACCTAATTAACACTCCTATCCTTCTATACCTAAAATAATCTAATAAATTACCCTCTTAATCTTTCCAGACCCCATCCAAGGCCGCAGTATCTACCCGATAAAACGCCTTAAAACCATATAAAAAAAAAAAAAAAAAAAACTCTGAGCTCTGAAAATCGCTGTAGCTCGTTGTCAAAACTTTCGCCCCCGGGGCGAAGGTTTCGCGGTTCGCGTTCCGATGGAGGATATTTTTTGTCGTCAACATACTACACATTGAATCACAAATGCCGCGAGTGGAGATAAAGAAATACTTTTTTCCATAAAATATGAGCGATGCGTGCATTTTTGCGCACGTAATTGAAAAGGGCTCCTCTTGCAGAGTAACCTGTGGACCTAGGGCGTAGGGCCCTAATCTTGCGTGGACCGTCCAATAATCTTTTTTTTTAGAGGAAAAAGCAGACTCCGAAGACAGAAATAAATGTAACATTAGTGGGCAGTATAAACATATAAGTGTAAACCTTTACAAAGGGGCCGTTCACAAATTACGTAAGGCACTTACAGGGAGGGGTGTCCAGAGGTGCCTTACGTAAGCCAAACGCTAAGATTTTGTTTCTTCCGAATTCCGTTAATTTAAAGACTTACTAGGCCGAATTTCGCTTTTTAGACGTTTAATGTTTTTTGGTTGAATTGTAATTTTTTTTAATTTAAAAACTGTTATTTTTCAATCCAACTGTTATTCTTCATGATCTCCTACCAGCGATTAGTAATGTTTAAAACAATACCGATTTGTTTCAACACCACTTTTTATTAAATTATGCATTTAAACGATAGAAGAGTGGGGGGGGGGAGGGGGTCATAAAAATCGGAAAAATTGCCTTGCGTAATTTATGAACGGCCCCAAAGAGTAATTTTGACATTTCCTATTGGTATTTTTTGTATTTCTTACGGTCGTTTTACTTCGAATTCCGTATCCTATAAATAAAAGAAGAGCAATTGTGCAGATTTATCCATTATGTAAAAGGGACGTTTCACTTTAAAAGATTCCGTCTTGGCCCGCAGGATTTTTTGTCAGCCCTACCTTCACAGCTCAGGGGCTGAATCTCTGCCCTAAAGGCGAGGACTAACAGAAAATCCTTCTCCGGGTGCGGAGTGCCGAGAGTCTGCGGATAGGGAACATCGATGCTCCCGACTGCGCACCAGACAGTTTGCGATGGAAATTCGGCAGGATTTTTTTTAAGTTCTACCTTCGAAGCTCAGGACTGAATCTCTGCTGAACACTCGACTCCCCTGAGGGAAGGCTACGGCCCCAACTTCTTTTCTCGGATGGCAACCCCTATCATGTGACACATCGTTGGATAGGTAATGTAAAAAGAAAATTTCTAGCACGAAGTTCAGATCGAGATCTAAATTTCTGACAAGAATGCGGCCAAAAAACGGAGGGAAACCAGATTTAAAGGTTTTTCAGGGGTTCTTATCAAAAAATTACCGGAAACCTACTACCCGAGGGTTATTTGACACAAGAGAGACGAATTTGACAACAGGTTGTCATAACTTCGAAGTCTATCCAAGACGGCGGCCGATCAAAATGGCGGGAACCCTTTTATGAGGGGTTTTAAGGGGTTTTAGCTGATGAAAATGCTCGGCAGTCCGTGTCCCGAGGTTATTTGACATGAGAAAGACGAGTTTGATATCAAGGTGTCAAAATTCCAAAGCCTTTTGTCTTTCTCGTGTTAAATAACCTCGGGATACGGACTTCTGGGCATTTTAAACGGTAAAAACTTCTCAAAAACCTTCCAAGCGGGGTTCCCGCCACAGTTGTAAGTAAAATCGGAAATTCCAAGAAAAAGTCCTAATGAACGTGAGTCACAAGTAAGTCCTTACCTGAGGCAAGTGTGTAATTTAGTGGCTTTGGATATGAAGTCTTCCCACAAAGGGGTGCCATTCTGAAACAACCCAAAGAAAAACATGAGCAACGGGTGCAAAAGTAAATGTGAAAAAACTCATGAAATAGGACACGTGAGCAACTGCACCTGGTTATTTAAGATTATGAGTGAAAGCAGCCACTTCTGGGCAAAACACCAACAGATAGGGATCAATGATCTTCTGTGATTTCCTCACTATTGGCGATCCGCGGCAGCCAATGCTTCCACAATTTGTAACTTTTCCACAAAAACCGATGATTCTCCATTTTCTTCCTTTATTNGGGGGGGGGGGGGGATACTAGGTACACAATACTAGGTATACTTCGGGCCGAATGTAAATGCACTTAGGTAATTCAGTGCTTCGATGTTCAAGTAAACTCTAACTGTTCTCCGCATACACTTCAAAATGTCTGCCGACAAATGCACTTAAAAACCGTATAAATATTGCTTTGCTGTTAAGTAGGTACATGCAGTCAACAATTTGACGAAAACGCAACTCATCAGGGAAAAGGTGCGAAATTTTTACGGTAGCCCGAAAACATTAAACCGGTTTCTGACGCGAGTATTAGTGGGTCATTGCTATTTATGCGTCCAAGATTTTCTTGTTTTCATAATTTCTCCAGATAATACAATTATATCACCGTCGATGTCGTTTGCTTGCTCATCCGGTGGAAGCATCTTACCTGTAGGAAAAAGTCATTCGGTAAAGGCACCTTATAGCGGTAGGAAATTTTCCGGTTAGCGATCGTCAAGTTATTCGGTAAAAGCACCTTAGCGATACTTAGAAGATTTTCTGGTCAGGATACCGTGCTTACCACCAAATAACGTTTTATTCGACGGTACCGTACCGCCGAATTACGCCATCCAATAGTTGATAGCATATAGAGAGTTTCACTGATGTTGATTGACAATTTTCCAGGATACCTTGAGGGATTCCCACTTTTACTGCTAAGAATTCGCTTTATTTCCCGAAATGTACTGCTTGCTGCCTCTCAAACATAACATTATCAAAACATTGTGGAGGAATTTCCCGTAAACCTATTTCATTGATTTTCTCTACTAGAATTTTATGTTGTACTGTGTCAAACGCTTTTTCTATGACGTTCAAAAAGACAAGGGCGTTTTTCTGCTTGCTTTGAATATTGAAACAGACTTTAAAACTAATTTTAAGCGGCAATCGAAAGTTAGGCAGTTTCTACACAGTTTAAATACGGAAAGTGTTGAAACAGTGACATTAAATTGTGGGAAGCATCCACAATTTTTAAGTTTGAAGCAACGATTCGACGGTATAAGTCGGCAGTCACTTAACTCGGTTTTCGAGGTCGCAGACTTCCTCTCACACTTTCGTTACTTAAACGGAAAACTACTCAACGGAAATTCTTTGAAACTGTCGTCATTTTTCTTCTCTGTGCGAAGAAAATTCTGCAATAACTTCAAGGAATGATGTCATTTGTTCTCCTTTAAAAAAATAACAGAGGCGGAGATTTTTGCACACCGCAAACGAGATATGTGATTGCTGCATCACACCGTCGAATTGTGATTCTTGCACAATTAAGAAGAAAAAAAAATTGAAGGCTTTCCACAAAAACGGCGATCATAGAATCGCATAATCTAGGATATTATCAACCCCTGCGCCAACAAGACCAGCTCAAGCAGCACCGGACACCGTGGTTCATTCCACTGACCTGTTGCATTCCAGTTTTTAGTTAGGTACACCAAGTCGCAAAAACATGACGACAACGGTATTCGTAGGGATATAAAGCTTCGAATTTTTTTCTCTTTTTCTTATTGCAACTTTCAAATGGCTTAAGGCTGATTCCATCCCTTTATCCAACCTAGCCACTGCTCATGTGTTGGCTCATGTAGGCTAAAGCGCTGCTTAGCCTTGCCTAGCCTAGAGTCCCTTTACACTGAGAGTCTGACAACACACCCTCATGGAGTCACAAACGGGAATAAAGATTACACAAATTGAACGTTTTTCTTAATCGGAGTCAGAAACTGGAATAAATATTACACAAATTGAACGTTTTTCTTAATCTTTGATAGGGTCACTCTCAAATTCTTTTCTCCGTTCCTTCTCTCATTCCGTTTGTTCCTTGTCGAACCTATCATTCTTCTGTCCGTTCCAGATTATAATCTTTGCAATTGGTGGAAATGTAATCTTCATTCCCGTTTGTGACACTGTGGAGGCGTGCGTCCGAGTTGGGTTGGGTCCGACGCACGCGACTCGACGCAGAGTGGTTTTTTAGCGGCAAAAACCCCTTTTACCCAAGAACTTTTTTTTTCATAAAAAATGTTATTTTCCTACTGCTAAGGGTTCACACTAACATAATTCAATAGTATTTTTTACTTTCATTCATTTCTACGATTGCTGCAGGTTGCAAAAATCGGAATTTTTATCCTGTAGAGGATATTCCTTAAAATAGGCATTTTTTACGCTAAATTCTGATCCTATTTAATTCTAAATCAATTTTTTGGAGTAACGGCTTTACTACCCGTCATCTCAAATTCATATAGTTGTGATTTCTTGGGGTAGTTAAAAAAATAAGAAAACAATTCTTGAATGATGGGGATAAAACCGGATGTTCTTCGAATTTAAAAATAACTACCTACATAATTAGCGGCGTAAGAAGACTTTTAAAAAATCTGTCAAGGGATGTTAAAAGAATACAGGCATTTTCAGAGAGTCAAAGGTACATAGTATCTGCCCTGAAAATATTTCAACCATATTCAACCATATTTAGAAGTTACAGGGGTTGAAACATAGCAAGGGCGCGAAGAAAAAACAGTTTTCGAGACAGTTCGCGCGCTGCACCGCTGTGGCCGATTTCACTAGGTAGTTTCTTTAAAAAAAATTGCTAAGCATGCTTATGAATACAAGCATTTTTTGATAATCAGAGATGTTTGTTAACTGCTGAGAAAAAGTTCTACCCTATTTTACTCTTTTTATAAATTACGGAAGTTGAAACATTACATGAATCATTACATTGAATCATTCGTTGAATTTCGTAAAAAGACATTTGAAAATTGTGCAAAATCGTTACAAGTATTTTCAGGGAGTCGAAGGTGCCTTCCTTGAGTCTTTTAAAAAATTATAGAGATTAAAATATTAAAATGACACGGAAAGAAACACAGTTTCTTATGGTTCTCGCGCATTCCCGTCGCACCGCGCTAGTATGTCTCACGCTAATTAACGCTGCTTGGTCTGTAGCTGCCTCCAGTCCCCTCCTCGCCGGTTGTTTTTTTACGCCAAAGAATTCAGTTCCATTTTATTATAGAAACGAAAAATGAAAAAAGATAAAAAGCTTCCCAAATTTTGCCCAACCCCCAATACGTCCGAGATTAGTTCCTTTTCAATCCACTTGGGAAACGGTAGAACACTTTTTAACACCTGAGTGGCTAACAGGGCTCTGGTTTAACACTCCCCTCCACATTTCGAATATCCTTTGCACAGTCAGCCTAAATGATAGAATAAAAGAAAAAACAGCAGCAGCATCAGCAGCACTATCTCTGAATTGATTCTGGCTGTAAAAAGCGACTGAGAGTAACTGCATGCTCCCGGGGTGAGACTCTCTTCTTTCCATCAGCCTTGTCTGCAAAGATTTATTGTATATTCGGCTGTCATAAATACATTTTATTCTTAATTCTTAACTAGCTGCTCCGGGCGCCCGTAGGGCGCCCGGAGCAGCTAGCAATGGTGGTGCAGTAGCTTATTTGGAATCGGAGCGATTAGTTGAATCTATTTAATAATGATGATGATTCTGCGGTAGAAGATCAAGGAATTTAAATGCCTCTCTGCGTTACAAGGTGGAGACTGCCATTCTACCGAAAAATGTTATAAAAAGCTCGCATTATTAGTTTTTCTTTTTTTTATGTTATTTTTTAATTTTATTTTTTTTTATTTTTTGATAATTTTCTAATGACTATGAGGCTTTTGGGATTTATAAAAGATCGAATCACCTCTTTGTGCACGATGTTTTTTGTACGGTTGCCTTTGGGAAGAATTTGGACTTCAAAATTTTTATACGATGTAGCTCGTGCCGTGAGAGTGCAACATATAGTTGACCATGGCCAAAAACTGTTTGGGGTAAATAGATGCCGACTCGCTTCAGTGTTTGACCCTTAGCTTTGATGATGGTCATGCAGAACGCAATGCGAATTGAAAATTGTCGCCTCTTAAAAGAAAAAGGGAGAGAGGAGTCTGCAGGTGACAAATCAATTCTTGGCAGTGAAATTCTTTCACCGGCCTTCTCGCCGGAAATGACCTGCAAATCAAGACAATTTCCATAACGTTTCCAGACGATCAATCGGGTACCATTCGATAAACCTTTAGAAATGTTGAGGTTTCTTAAAAGCATGACAAAAACCCCCTCCAAAAGTGTGAGTTTAAGCGGTGGTAAGCCACTAAGATTAAGAC